TGAGGAAATGCAAAAAAAGACAGAGACAAGCCAAGAAACATACTCTTAACTATTTAGAACAAACTGATGGTTACCTGAGAGGGGTGGGTGAGGGAATGGGTGAAATATTTGATGGAAATTAAGGAAGGCATTTTTTGTGACGAGCACTGGGTGATGTATGGAATTATTGAATCCCTATGTTGTATACCTGAAAAGAATATAACACTGTATGTTAATTATGCTGGAATTAAAATAAAATAAAATAAAATAAATTGCATGATAATGTGAATATATGCAGAGGTATTATTTGACAAAATTTAACATTCTTTTATGATAAAAATACTCAACAATTGGGGCACCTGAGTGGCTCAGTTGCATAAACATCCAACTCTTGGTTTGTGCTCAGGTCATGATCTCAGGGTTGTGCAATCAAGCCCTGCATTGGGCTCCATGCTCAGCAGCGAGTTTGCTTGAGATTCCCTCTCTCCCCCCCCGCCCCTCCCCACCTCCCTAAAATAAATAAATAAATCTTAAAAAAACACTTAAAAAAATCTAGGAATAGAAGAAACTATTTCAAAATTATAAATGCCATAGATGAAAAGCCCATGGCCAACATCATACTCAATAGTGAAGACTAAAAAAATTTCTCTATGATCAGGAAGACTTTCATTCAACATGATATTCAATGTTTTAGCAAGAGCAAGCAGGCAAAAAAATCAAAGAAACAAAAACAAACAAAAGAAATGTTTACAATAGAAAAGAAGTAAAATGATTTCTGTTCTCAGATGATCTGGTCTTATATATAGAAAACCCTGAAGACTTCACACACACACACACACACACACACACAGAGAGAGAGAGAGAGAGAGAGAGAGAGTTGGAACTAATAAAGTAACATTGCAGGATAAAAAAATCAACATACAAATACTGGTTGCACTTATATACAATAACAACAAAGAATCCAAAAACAAATTTAAGAAGTAATCTAATTTACAATAGCATCAAAAATAATAAAAGACTACCAAAGATTTAAGGAAGAAATTATACCAATTCTCTGCAGTCTGTCTTTCAGAGGATACAAACAGAAAGAATACTTCCTAACTCATTTTGAGGCCAGCATTACCCTAATAATGAAATAAGACAAAGAAGTTACCAGAACAGAAAATTACAGACCAGTATCTCATGAATATAGATGCAAAAATCATCAACAATATCTTAGCAAATTGAATGTTGGATTGTACATTAAAACAATTTTTCACTATACGTAAATGGAATTTATCTCTGTAATGCAAGGATGGTTCAACATTTAAAACTCAAGATATTTGCAAATTACATTACAGATAAAGGGTTGGTATCCAAGATCTATTAAGAACTTACCAAACTCAACATCCAAAAAACAAATAATCAAGTCAAAAAATGGGCAGAAGACATGAACAGACATTTCTCCAAAGAAGACATACAAATGGCTGACAGACACATGAAAAAATGTTCAACATCACTAGCCATCAGGGAAATACTAATCAAAACCGCAATGAGATACCACCTTACACCAAGTGTTGGTGAGGATGTGGAGAAAGGGGAACCCTATTACACTGTTGATGGGAATGCAAGCTGGTATACCCACTCTGGAAAACAGTATGGAGTTTCCTCAAGACGTTAAAAATAGAGCTACCCTACAACCCAGCAATTGCACTACTAGGCATTTACCCCAAAGATACAGATGTAGTGAAAAGAAGAGGCACCTACACTCCAATGTTCATAGCAGCAATGTCCAGAATAGCCAAACTATGGAAAGAACCAAGATGTCCTTCAACGGATGAATGGATAAAGAAGATGTGGTTCATATATACAATGGAATATTATTCAGCCATCAGAGAGGATGAATACCGACCATCTGCATCAATATGGATGGAACTAGAGGGTATTATGTTAAGTGAAATAAGTCAAGCAGAGAAAGACAATTATCATATGGTCTCAGTCATATGTGGAATATAAAGAATAGTGCAGAGGTCCATGGGGAAGGGAGGGAAAACTGAATGGGAAGAAATCAGAGAGGGAGACAAACTATGAGAGACTCTGGACTCCAGGAACCAAACTGAGGGTTACAGAAGGGAGGTGGGTGGGGGGATGGGGTAACCAGGTGATGGCTATTAAGGAGGGCATGTGTGGTGTTGAGCACTGGGTGTTATATGCTACTAATGAATCGTTGAACACTACATCAAAAACAAAAGATGTATTATATGTTGGCTAATTGAACATAATAAAAAAATAATAAAAACAAAAATCAAGTAAACTATCACCTCAACAAACTGAAAAAGAAAATCACATGAAAATCCAACACCCATTCATAATAAAAACCTTCCATAAGCTAGAATTAGAGGGAAACATTCTCAACTTGATAAGACTATCTACAAAAAACCTACCACTTGCATCATATGTAATGGTGAGAAACTTGAAGCTTTCTCACTAAGATCATGTTCAAGGTAAGGATATCCCTTCTCACCACTCCCTTTCAACATCACATAGGAAGTTACTGTTAATGTAATAAGGCAACAACCAAAAAATAAATGGGATGCTGATTGGGAAGAAAAATTGTTTTTGCTCACAGATGTTTTTCTCTATAGAAAAACCAAAAGAATGAACAAAAAAAGCCCTAGGAACTAATAAGCAATTACAAAAGGTTGCAAGATATAAAGTTAATATACATAAGTGAATTGCTTTTTTATATACCAATGATGAACAATTGGGATTTGAAATAAAGATACAATACTATTTACATTAGCACTCCCCAAAAGAAAATACTTTGGTATAAATGTAACAAAATAGGTGCAGGATCTGTGTGAGGAAAACTACAAAACTCTGATTAATGAAATCAAAGAATTAAGTAAAGGGAGAGATATTCCTTGTTCATGGATAGGAAGAATGACTGTGTTCAAGATGTTAGTTCATCCCAAATTGATGTATAGATATAATGGAATCTCAAATAAAATCCTGGCAAGTTATTTTTAAAATAACAACAAACTAATTCTAAAGTTTATACAGAGAGGCAAAAGACCCAGAAGAACCACACAATACTGAATAAAGAACAAAGTTGGAGGACGGATGGTATGTGACTTCAAGACATACTATAAAGTTACAGTAATCAAAATGGTGTATTGTGAAAGAATAGACAAAGATCAATGAAACAGAATAGAGAACCCAGAAATAGACAACTATAAATATGGTCAATTGATCTTGACAAACAAGTGAAGTCAATACAATTGAGCAAAGATAGGATCTTCAACAAATGGTTCTGGAACAACTGGGCACCCAAATGCCAAACAGAAAAAAAAAGAAAGAAAATGAATCTAGAAACAGACCTTACACCCTTCACAAAAAGTTAACTTCAAATGTATTATCAACCTAAATGTAAGACACAAAGCCATAGAAATTCTAGAAGACAATACAGGATAAAACCTAATTACCTTGCACATGGTGATGACTTTTTAGATGCAACACCAAAGACATGATTCACATGCACGCACACACACACACACACACACACACATTGATATGCTTGAATTCATTAAAACTAAAAATTTCTACTTTGCAAAATACAGTTTCAAGAGAATTAGAAGCCAAGCCATAGGGAGGGGGGACAAATGGTGGTACTGTAGGAAGATCCTAAACTCACCTCTTCCAACAAATACATCAAATCTGCAGTTACATGTGGATAATTTCCCTCTGAAAAAGATCTGGAAAGTACAGGAACTGTTCACAACAAAGGATAAAAGGACAATATTGAGATGGGTGGGAAAAGCATAGACACAGTCTCGCAAAAAAAGAAAAAAAAAATCCTTGGTGTGATGACAAAAAGGAACTCACCAAACAGGTGCTTTTCCCATAAGAGTGAGCAGTTGGTGCCCGTCTTAGACACTGTGGCCCCTAGGATCTACTCCAAAGAGATGAGCCCCCAGAACACCTAACTTAGAGAACCAATGAGGCTGACATTCAAGGGTCCCAAAGTGCTACAGGAAACTTAATCTCCCCCTTGTAGGGCTTTCATGTTATCTTGCTCATGCTGAGACCCAGTGGGAAAAAAACAGCAGTTTGAAACATGTCTATGCTCTAGGTATAAGAGATTCATTTGCTGATCTCGGGGCATCAGCTGGAGGTTTGGAGAACAGTTGTGATGCTCCCCAGAGATGGAGGAACTGTTGGATGCCATTGTTGCACTCCCCACACAACCTGCAAGCATAGGGAAATGAGCTTGGACACAGCACCCTCCTACTGCATTGCTGGGACAGTGGGGGAGAGTGGTTGAGCCTTTGCTGAGGCCAGAGAGCATGGCCAGTTGGTGTTCTCTCACTTCCTGGCTGAAGCAGGTGAACATGTATGGTCATGGAGTTCTCCCACACCCTAATTAAAGTCTGTGAGTGTGGGAGGTTACAACTCTCCTCTGCCCCTGCTGGGGCTATCAAGCATGAGTGCATACAGCATTCTCTTCCTCTCAGTCTAAAGCCAGTGTATACACATAGACAAGGCACTTTTCTGCATTGCTGAAGCCCACAGCATATTCCATCAAGACATTTTCACATTGCCATTTTAAAGCCAGTGAACCTGCCCCACACCCCAACAATTTCTAGCTGCCTTGTTAAAGACAAAAGACATGCACAATTCACACAGAGGACACCTCTCATTCATTCATCAGATCCTGGTGGTCAAGAGTCCTGCAATCAGAGCACCACAGACTTGTAACAATCAGAAAAATAATTTTTTGGCAGGCCACCCCCACAAGGGTACTGCACAGACAGCAGACTAATACAGAACCCCAGTCTTCCTTTGAAAAATGCCTGCATACTTAGCCTGACACTTCAGCCTGAGGGGCAGGCTTTTGATTTTTCTCACATCTAGGCATTACATAAGCAATCCCAGTGAATATAATCAAGGATACACTATCCTTGTGTAACCCCTTGACCTCACTACAGCTCAACAAGACTTCTCAGAAAGAAAACTATACATTTAACTGGAGTCCCAATTTTTGTAAGTGTCACTTAGAGATACCTTCAGATCTGGTTAGGAGGCCAGGAAGTGGTGGTTCCACAGGACTGCATATGTTTGTATTCTTTAGAAGTTGTAGCATTAGGATCTGGCTTCCAAACAGCCTGAAATTAGGTGGTAAACAATATCTGTTTCCTTAGATCACTGACAGGTCTTGACACACTCTCAACAACAGGGGCATATCAACAATGAATTAGGCAGTTTGGACAATCAAAAAGGTCCAAGAGATAACCAAGAGCTACGGGGAGGTTAAATGATGAGGTTCATCACTTAAACAAGGATATTCTTTTAAGGTAAGAGAAGTAACTATTTCATGTGATACATAGAAAGAAACACAGAGAGTCAAACAAAATGAGGAAATGGAGAGATAAGTTCCAAATGAAAGAACAAGATAAAACCTCAGAAAATATCTTAATGATATGAAGATTAAAATCTACCTGATAAAGAACTCAAAGTAATGGTCACAAAGATTCTCACCAAACTCAGAATGGATAAACACAATGAGCACTTCAACAAAGAGAAAGAAAACCTAAGGAAGTGTCAAAAGTAAGTCACAGAGCTAAAGAATACAATAAATAAATTGAAAAATACTTCAGAGGAGTTCAACATCAGACTGGATAAAGCAGAATGGATCAGTGAACTGGAAGGTATGCACTGGAACCCAGCCAGGCTGGGAACCAAAAAGAAAAAAACAAATTTAAAAAGTGAAGATAGCTTAAGGGGCTTATGGGACAACACCAAGTAGGATAACATTCACATTGTAAGGTTCCCCAAAGAAGAGAGAGACAAAGGGGCAGACAATCTAGTTGAAGAAATAATTACAAAAACAAATTGTTACACACAAAAGAAACCTCATAAGGCTATCAGATTCATCAACAGAAACTTTGCAAGCCAGAAGAAAGTGGCATGACATATTCGAAGTGCTAAAAGGAAAAAAACTTACAACCAAGAATACTGTACTTGGCAAGGTTATTATTCAGACTTGGAGGAGAGGTAAAGAGTTTCCCACACAAACAAAAGCTAAAGGAGTTCATTACTACTAAATCAGACCTTATAAGAAATATTAAAAGAACTTGGGGTGCCTGGGCGGCTCAATTGGTTACTCATCTGACTCTTGATTTCAGCTCAGGTCATGATTCCAGGGTCATGATATTAAGCCCCATGTCTGGCCCGCATTGGGCTATGCACTGGATGTGGAGCCTAAGATTCTCTGTCTCCTACCCCTCTGCACCCTCCCCCACTTACACACACGCTCTCTCTCTCTAAAAATAAAGAATAAGAATAATAAATAATAAATGTTAAAGGAACTTTTTAAAGTGAAAAATAAGAAACCATAGAAAAGTAAAAATCTCCTGGAAAAGGTAAATATACACTAAATGTACTGGATTCATCAATTTTTAAGCTAGTAAAAAGGTTAAAAGACAAAAGTAGTAAAATTAACTAAAACTACAATAATTAGTTAAGGGACATATGAAATAAAAAGACGTAGAAAGTGATATCAAAAACACAAAATGTGGGGAGGGGGTAATAAGAGTTTTTGAATGTGTTCAAATTTAAGTTATCAACTTGATAGACTGTTATATACATAGGATATATATGTGAACTTCATGGCAACCATAGGGCAAAAATGTAGTAAATACACAGAACAAAATGTGAACAGAATCTAAACATAACCCTAAATAGAAAGTCATCAAACCACAAAGCAAGGGAGAAAAAGAAGAAAGGAAGAGAGAGAAACTATAAAACCAGCTGGAAAACCATTAACAAAGTGGCAATTAGTACATACTTAGCAATAATTACTTTAAATGTAGTGGACTAAATTCTCAAATTAGAAGATAGTGTGGCTGAATGGATTTTTTAAAAGATGCATTTATATATTGCCTACAAGAGAATCACTTTGGAAGTAAGGACACACACAGACTGAAAATGAAGAGATGGAAAAAGATATTACATGCAAATGGAAATGAAAAGAAAGTTGGTGTAGATATATTCATATTAGGTAAAATAGAATTTAAAACATAAAAGACAAAGCCACAATATATAACAATAAAGTGGTCAGTCAATCAAAAATATATAACATTTTATAGATATGTATGCACCCAACATCAGAGCATCAAGACTTACAAAACAATTATTAACAGACCTAAGGGAAGAAATGGAAAGTAATACAATAATTGAAGGCAATTTTAATACCCCACACACATTAATGGATAGATCACCCAGACTGAAAATTAATAAGAAAACAGTGGCCCTAAATGACACATTACACCATATGGATGTAATAGATATATACAGAAAATTCCAAGTGTACATAGAACATTCTCCAGGACAGATTACATGTTAGGCAAGTCTCAAAATTTTAAGAACATTGAAATCATATCAAGCATGTTTTCCAAACAAAATGGTATGTAACTAGAAACCAAAGATAATTATTGAAAATTTATAAACATATGGAGATTAAACAACATGCTACTGAATAATTTTGGGTCATAGAGGAAATCAAAGGAGAAATTAAAAAATACTTACAGAAAAATTAAAACAGAAATGTGACATACCAAAATTTATGGAATACAGCAAAAGCTGTTCCAAGAAAGAAGTTCATAGGAACATAGGGCTTTCTCAAAAAACAAGAGATATCTCAATAGACAATTTAAATACACCTAAAGGAAGTAGAAAAAGAACAACAAAGACCAAAAAAAAAAAAAAACCAAAGTTAGTAGAATCATAATAATAAATTAAATAATAAAGATCAAAACGTGGAAATAATGAAATAGAGACTAAAAAGATAATAGAAAAGATAGATGAAAACGAAAATAAGCGCTGATTTTTTGAAAAGATAAAGCTGAAAAACTGTAACTGTACTTAACAAAAAAAGAGAGAAAAGACTCAAATAAAATTACAAGTGGCAATGTCACCAAGTCTGCCAGAAAGGTCAGAAGGCTAAATGAATATTATCCCCAATACCTGCCACCCCAAGGTTAATCAGTGGTGGAAGAATGGTATCAGAACTGTTTGTGTCAATTGGCCATCTAAGTTTAATATTAAAAGACTGGTTAATGATAACAATGCATTGTAAAACCTTCAGAAGGAAAGGAGAATGTTTTGTGGACCATTTGTTTTTTGTGTCTATGTGACAGTTTTAAGTTATTAGTTTTTAAAATCAGTACTTTTTAATGGAAACAACTTGACCAAAAATCTGTCACAGAATTTTGAGACTCATTAAAACAAAAGTTTAATGAGAAATAAAAATTACAAGTGAAAGAGAAGTTACAACTGATGCAAGGAAAATACAAAGGACCAGATGAGACGAAAGTAAGCAAATGAGACCACATCAAATTAAAAATCTTCTGCATAGTGAAGGAAACCATCAACAAAATGAGAGACAGCCCACTGAGATGGAGAAAATAGTTTCAAATTATTTATCCAATAAGTTTTTGATATACAAAATATATAAAGAACTCATACAACTCAATAACAAAAATTTAATTTAAAAATGGTCAGGGATCTGAATAGACATTTTTTCCAAAGAAGACATACAGATGGCTAACAGGCTAAGGAGAAAATAAAAAGATCACTGGTTGCTGGTGAGGGGAAAGAGATGAATGGGAAAAGCACAGAGAATATTTAGGTCAGTGAAAATACTCTGATATTATAATGATGGATAATGCCATTATACATTTGTCCAAACCCATAAAATGTATCACACCAAGAGTGAACTGTAATGAAAACTAAGTGATTGTATTGTGTCACAATTATACTATGTCATAATTATGATGTTTTAATGTATGTTCATTCTTGGTAAAACTTGTAGCTTTCTGTTGAGTGATGTTGATAATGGGAGAGACTGCATGACTGGGGGCAAGGGCTATATGGGAAATTTCTGTACCTTCCCTTCAATTTTTCTCTGAACTGAAAACTGCTCTACAAAAATTAGTCCTTAAGAAGAAGAATAAGGATTTAGGGAAAAGAAAAACTTAACCAAGGAGGTGAAAGACTTGTATTAAAAACTACAAAACATTGCCATTCCTTGCTGCTGTGGACTCTGGGCCGCTGGGGTCAGTGAAGGATCTCAAGATGGCTGGGCAAAAACTTGTTCTAAAATCCATTGACTGGGTAGCTTTTGGGGAGATCATACCCCGAAACCAGAAAGCCATTGCTAACTCCCTGAAATCCTGGAATGAGACACTTACCTCCAGGTTGGCTACTCTCCCTGAGAAACTACCTGCTATCGACTGGGCTTACTACAAGGTCAATGTGGCGAAAGCTGGTTTGGTATATGACTTTGAGAAGTTTAATGCCCTGAAGGTTCCTGTGCCAGAGGATAAATATACTGTTCAGCTGGATGCTGAAGAAAAAGATGTGAAAAGTTGTGCTGAGTTTTTGTCTCTCTCAAAGGCCAGGATTGAGGAATATGAAAAAGAGCTGGAGAAAATGAGGAACATAATTCTATTTGATCAGATGACCATTGAGGACCTGAATGAAGTCTTCCCAGAAACCAAATTAGACAAGAAGAAGTATCCCTAATGGCCTCACAAGCCAATCGGGAATTTATAAACTTGAGTTAGGGAGAAAGCTCTGACCCTCGTATTATAAATGCTGGACATTAAAAATAATGATATGGTTAAAAAAAAAACTACAAAACATTGATGAAAGAATGAAGACATAAATAAATGGAAATATACCTTATGTTTATAGATTGGAAGACTTAATATTCTTAATATGTCCATACTAAAAGTGGTATAGAGATTCAGTTCAATCTGTGTCAAAATTTCAATGGCATTTTTTTTTACAGAAATAGAAAAAAAAATCCTATATGAAATCATAAAGGACAACAATGTTAAGAAACAGTGATCCTCAAGGAACCTCATACACCTGTTTTCAGATACTGGGTTAAAGATAGATATGCAGACCTATGGAACATAATGGAGAGCCCAGAAATACACTCATACATAAAGATTCAACTCATATTCTACAAAGGTGTCAAAATATACAATAGAGAAAGGACTTTGTCTTCAACAACTTATGTTAGAAAAACTGGATAGCTACATGCAAAACAATGAAATTAGACCCTTATCTTACACTATACACAAAGTCAAGTCAAAACAGATTAAAGACTTAAACATAAAACTTGAAACTGTATAACTCTTAGAAGAAAAAAGGGAAATGTTTTATGATATTAATCTGAGCTCATGCTACTCTAACCAAATACCATAAAATGGGGTGCTTAAACAGTGTATATTTATTTTTTTTATAGTTCCAGAGGCTGGGAAGTTTAAGATCAAGGGATGAACAGATTTAGTATCTGGCAAAGTCTTGCTTCCTGATTTGTAGACAACTACCTTCTAGCTGTATGATCATTTGGTCTTTCCTCCATGCATGTATGTGGAGAAAGAAAGAGCTCTTTCTCTGTGTTCTGTGTGTAGGGACACTAATCCCATCATGAGATTTTCCAATCTTATGACCTAATTGAAAACTACCTCCCAAAGGTCCCATCTCTATGTAACTACCATCACATTGGGGTTAGGGCTTCCACATATGAATTTGGGAGCCACAATATTCAGCCCATAACATTCTGCCCCTGGCCACCTAAAATTCAAAATTCATGTTCTTCTCATATGCAGAGTATAGTCATTTCATCCCAACAACCCCCAAAGTCTTAATTTGTTCTAGTACCAAATCTAAATTATTTTTTACTTAAATTTTATTAGTTAACATACATTGCAATATTGGTTTCTGGAGTAGAATTCAGTGATTCATCACTTACATACAATACCCAGTGCTCATCACAAGTGCCCTCTTTAATACCAATCACCCATCTAGCCCATCCCCTACCCATCTCCCCCCATCAACCCTCAGTTTGTTCTGTATTGTTGAGTCACTTATGGCTTGTTTCCCTCACTCCTTTTTTCCTTGTCATTGAAATATCATCTAAATCAGGTATTGGTGAGATTGGAGATAACATTCATCCTGAGGAAAAAAATCCCCTCAATCTGTGTACCTGTGAAACCACATAAGTAATGTGCTTCCAAAATACAATGGTGGGAGAGGCATAAGATAGACATTCTTCGTCCAAAAAGGGGGAAAAAAAAGAGGAAAGAAAGGGGTCACAAACAAGTCTAAAGTTTAGCAAGCCAAATTTCATGAGATCTTCAGGCTCATGTATAATTATTCTCTTTGCTTTGATGTTCTGCTTTCCAGACCCATGAGGGTGTTGTCTAAGCCTTCTGGACACACTAGATTGGAGATAGTGCCTTTCCCCCATGTTTTGTTTTTTTTCTCTGGGAGGGGTTTGCAGCCCACCAGGTTTTGCTGGGCATCCCACACCCATTGTCTCTGCCAGGTGGTTCTACATTCTGAGGTTTTTGGAAGATCCCACCTGCCCTGTTGTAACCAAGGTAATTGTGCATGCACGCACACACAATACACACTTTGAGACTGAGGAAGGATCCCTGATGATTTCTGAATTGCCACTGGGGTCATTTTTCCCTTATCTTGAATAGCACATTTATAGTCTAATAGGTCTTTGGTCTGGTCTTTTAGGATCTACGAAGTTTGACAACTTTCCTTAATTACATTTCATTATCTCTGTCACCTTTATTTCAAACTGCCAGTATCTTTTCTGGTATAATCCCATCTCTATTCCTTGTTTCTATTGATGTGACTTATTATATCTGGGGTTCACAGCCACACTAATTTATCGAATGGTTAACCAAAATATTGGTGTTCTCTTCCAAATACCTTCCTCATTTTTGCAATAGGGGCAGATTTAGAATTTACCACATCTTTACTTCTGGTTATTTTTTGCTGAACATTTTCTTCTTCAATTAACTCCCCTTATCTCATTTTACCATGGCAGTCAGGAGGAACTTTGCTGTTTTTTCAACACTTTGCATGTAAATCTCTTTAGCTAAATATGCAATTTTATTGCTCATAAGTTTTACTTTCTACATACACTAGAACATGAACACAATTTAGCCAATTTCCTTGATAATTTATAGCAAGTATTGCTTTTTCTTTATTGTTTCTTATTTTATCCTGAGACATTATCAGAGTAGCCTTACCATCCATATTTCTACTAACATTCTGTTTAAGATTATATATGTTTTCTTGAGGAAGATGTAGGCTTTCTCACCAATTCTACTCTTTTCTCTCTAAACCCTCCCTAGAATTTCCTTCAGCATTCCGAAAATAGCTATCTTGTTTTTTTCTAGTATACAATTCAAATTCTTCCAGCTCCTACCCATTACACAGTTCCATAGCCAATTCCAGGTTTTTATTTGTGCTATAATAAAATACCATAGACCGGTGGCTTAAACAAATATATTTTTCACAGTTTTGGAGGCTGGGAACTCCAAAACCAAGGTGCTGGCAGACTCAGTTCTTCCTGGCTTAGAGATGGCTGCCTTTTTACTGTGTGTTCACAAAGCTATTCTCAGTGCCTTTGTGTGGAGAGACAAAGGAGTGGGGTAGGAAAGGGAGAGAGAGAGAGGGAGATCTGATATCTCTGTTTTCCTCTTCTTATAAGGGCACTAATCCCATCATTAGAGTCCTACTTTTATGACCTAATCTAAACTTAGTTATGTCTCAAAGGAACAACTTGCAAATACCATCACACTGGGGTTTAGAGTACCAACATGTGAATTTTGGGAGGACACAAATCTTGGACCCATAAAAACATTGATCTTGGCAATGATTTTTTGCATATGACACCAAAAGCACAGGCAACAAAAGCAAAAATATATGTGGGTCAACTTAAAACAAAAAAGCATCTATCTCCACAACATTGAAAACAATCTAAAGAGTGCAAAGGCAACTTATAACATGTGAAAGAGTATTTCTAAATCATATATCTGAAAAGGGATTAATATCTAAAATACATATGGAGCTCCTAAACTTAATGGAAAAAAATAATAACCTGATTAAAATATAGCTAAAAGACTTAAATACACATTTTTCCCAAAGAAAATATACAAATGGAACACAGATATATTAAAAAGATGTTGAACATCATTAAAAGGGAAATGAAAATGAAAACCACAAGGAGATATCACCTCACATCTGTCAGGATGGCCATTATTTAAAAAACAAAAACAGAAAACAGAATATAACAAGTGTTGGTGAGGATATGGAGAAATTGGAAGCCTGTGCATTCCTGGTTGTAATGTAAAATGATGCATCTGCTATTCTGAGATTCGCCCCAAAATAAAAGTAAAAATACCATATAATGCAGCAATCTGGTTATTTGTACAAAAGTATCAAAGTTAGGATTTTAAAGAGATATCTGCCCTCTTGTGTTTATTGTAGTTTTATTAACAATAAACAAGAGGTGTAAATAACCTAAATGTTTATTGACACATAAATGGATAAAGACGATGTGTTATACATACAATAGAATATTAATCATAAATAAGACAGAAATCCTGTCATCTGCTACAACATGGATAACTTTGAGGACATTACCCTACGTGAAATAAGCCAGTCACAAAAGAACAAATGCTACATGATTCCACTTATATAGGTATCTAAAGTAGTCAAATTCATCAGAGCAGAAAATAGAATTGTATGGGTGGAGGGGGAAGTGGGGAGATGCTGTTCAATGGGTTTCAGTTATTTAAGATGAAAAATTTCCAGAGATCTATTATACAATTATACAATTATGCTTAGAATTAACAATACTGTATTATACACTTAAATTTTTGCTAATAGAGTAGTTATGTTGTTATGTGTTTTTTTTTTCAATTTGTTCATTGTGGTACAATACACATAACATGAAAATTATCATCTTAACCATTTCTACGTGTACAGATGAGTGATATTAAATACACTCATAATGCTGTGCAACTACCACCAACATCCTCTTTCTTAGCTCTTTCCATCTTGTGAAACTGAAACTCTATACTCCTTAAACAATAACTTTGCATTCTCCTCTTGACCCACCCCTGGAAAGTACATTCTATTTCCTTTTTTAAAAATTTTTTGTTTATATTTTAATTACAGTTCGTTAACATACTGTTTTATATTAGTTTTAGGTGTACAATATAGTAATTCAACACAACCATACATTACCCTATGCTCATCACTACAAATGCATTCCTTAATCTCCATCAGCAGTTTAACCCACCCCAACCCCCACCCCTCTGATAACTATCAGGTTGTTCTCAATAATTAAGAGTCTGTTTCAGGGCGCCTGGGTGGCTCAGATGGTTAAGCCTCTGCCTTCAGCTCAGGTCATGATCTCCAGGTCCTGGGATCAAGCCAGCTCTGTGGGGAGTGTGCTTCTCCCTTTCCCTCTGCCTCTTCCCTTGATTGTACTCTCTGTCTCTCTCTCTCTTAAAATAAATAAATAAATCTTTTTAAAAAATATTTCTTGATCTCTCTCTCTTTCTCTCTTTTATTTTCCCTTTGCTTGTTTGTTTTGTTTCTTAAAGTCCACATATGATTGAAATCATATATTTGTCTTTTTCTGGCTTATTTCACATAGCATTATACTCTCTAGCTCCAACCATGTCATTGCAAATGGAAATATTTCATTCTTTTTTATGGCTGAATAATATTCCATTGTATATGTACCACATCTTTTTATCCCTTCATTAATCAGTGGACATCAGTGTTGCTTCTATTTCTTGGTTATTGTAAATAATGTTGCTATAAACATCGGGGTGCACATATCCCTTTGAATTAGTGTGCTTGTATTCTTAGAGTATTTACCTTGTAGTGCAATTGCTGGACCAC